AAAAAAAAAAAATCAGCTAGTGGGAACCACCTTCCTTGGAAACATCTGCAATCCATGTTTCTGGAGTGTAATCCAGGAGAATGGAAAGATATTTTAACAATGACAACATGGAATTTTATTTAAGCAAACTGAGCAGGTTCTATTCTGTCAAAATTGGCGATCTATAGACTTACCATATTAATTGGTAATACATTTATTTCAAGACATAATTTGAAGCCTGCCTCCTTTACTGGTCTTGTTGCATATTATCACAACTAAGAAAACGTTTTCCCCCAAGACCAATTAGCATTTATTGAGAGTTTAGTCTTGGCCAGATATAGATCTAGAATCACTTTATGCATACTGTTTCATTTTATTCTCAAATAGATTTATAAACTAAGAATTGTTATTACTATTGCATCTATTTTATAAATAGGGATACTTAGCAACACAGATCCAGGATATGAGGAAGTCCTTTCCTGATTTGAAAGAAATAGACGCGACTTAAAAACATATATATATAAAGATGCCATGAGAAAAATGGGCCCAGCAGGTGGTATATGTAGTAGCTAAGACATTGGAATCGCATGACAATGATTCCAATCCCGGACCAGGCAGATTGAAACATGCCAAGCACGTGTGTATGTATGCCCAGAATCCTGAGAAGAGAGAATGGAAAAAGGACTGTGGTGTGGCCAGCCACCTGGGGGCTGATTTCTCATTTTCTATCTGTCTCTCTCTGTCTCTGGCAAGTGCATCCACACTATAGCAAAAAATTTCAAAAAAAATATGAGAAAATTAATTCAAAGACATATTAAGTAAACTTAGAACATGATTATATAGCATTTACTATTTTATCTACTATATTAAATTCTTTTCCTCATTTTTTGAAAAAGAAGAAAATCTTTTGGAGTGTATCCTTGAAGGCTTGTTTCACTTGCTGGTTCCTTAGAGTGTAAATAAAAGGGTTTAATAAAGGTGCCACTGAGGTGTAAATGACAGCTACACCTTTGGATAAAGTCACTCTTTCCTTTGCTGATGGCTTCATGTAAATAAAGATACAGCTGCCATAGGTTAGGGAGACGACGACCATGTGAGAGGAACAAGTAGAAAAAGCTTTGGTTCTTTTCTGGGCAGAGGGGATTTTTAGAATGGTCTTGATAATGTACGAGTAGGAAAGAATCACTAACAGAAATGTCATCACCAGTGTTACAACCGCAGAGACAAATGAAATCAGTTCTAGCAGATGAGTGTCTGAGCAAGAAATCTGCAAGACAGGGGATGTGTCACATATGAAATGATCAATTTCTGTGGAGGCACAGAATTCCAGTTTCAGTCCCAAGACCAGCGGTGGAAACGTAATCAGAAAGCCAGCTGTCCATGAGCTGAGTACAAGCTGGTAGCACAGTCTGTTGCTCATGATGTTTGGGTAATGTAGGGGTTTACAGATTGCTACATAGCGATCAAAAGACATGGCAGCCAGCAGGTAAAATTCAGTAACGCCTAGCAAAAGGAAAAATAATAACTGAGATGCACACTCATTGTAGGAAATGACTCTGTTCTTAGTTATTATGGCTATTAGGAATCTGGGAATACAGACAGTTGTTAATGAGATTTCCAGGAAGGAGAAATTTCTGAGGAAAAAATACATTGGAGTTTTGAGACGGGGATCCAGCTGCGTAAGGAGGATGATAGATAGGTTTCCCATCACGCTCAGGATGTAGTTGAGAAAGAGAAATATGAAAATCACGAATTGCAGTTGTGGGTCATCTGTAAATCCCAAGAGGATAAATTCTATCTCCTTTGACTGATTGTTCATATCAAATGTGAGTCCTACTAAACAGACATAGAAAAACAACTCTAAAAACAGAAATAACTATAGTTTACAGCTAAATATATAGAAAAACATGTACAGTAATGTGAATAGTTTTACAAAGTTTATCCACATTGGTAAGGTCCATGATTGCAGCGTAGATTAACCTAAGCATCCTTTAGTTGATTGTTCTATTAATCCAGTTATCTTTATATCACTAAACTCTTCATGAAGAAAAATCTAGACAATTTTGTCACTATCAATTGACATGAATTATCTAGATATTTTTAATCTATAAAACGATCAGAATGGCAAAGATTAAAAATATCAAAAGTGATAAGTGTTGGTGGGGATGTGGCAAAAGGGGAACACTCCTACACTGTTGGTGGGAATGTTAACTGGTCCAGCCACTGTGGAGAACAATATGGAGGTTCCTCAAAGTCATTCAAATAGACTTAAACTCTTTTTAAAGGAATGTACAGAGAACATTTCCCTGTGATTTAAGTTCTGTAACATACGCAATTTGTTATTTTGCTCCAATGAGGTCTCTTTCACTTTTACTTTACTATATTTCTCTTATTTGTTACTTTTGTCTCATCTCAAATACAACATTTTTTTCATAAACGGTTGCATTAAATTTATTCCTTCCAGTGAAAACTTGCATCTAAATTAATATAGAATAAATCTGACAGTTCAGATGTCAGTGCAAATTGCTTGACTTGGATTGCAGAATTGCTTTCATTTATGCTCTACATATTTATTCCAAATTACAGGTGACTTACCACATGCAAGATGTATTGGTAGAATTTTCTCTCTATAGGAGTAGAATAGACAAAAAGAGTCAAATAAGAAATGAATATTCTAATTTTCATAATGTTATAAAAATATTATACTATTTTAAGAGAAAATTTAGTTCCAATACTGTTCTTGAAAATAGTTCAAAGCAGAGATGGATTCTTAAAATTCTATGTCTTCATTAGCACTTCTCACCTCTCTCACTTAAAAACATAGGACCTGAATTTATAGATAGTTCAATTACAATTCTGTTTTATGTCAGATAAGATTTATTTTCTCTTTTTTTCTCTAGGTAACACGCCTAGAAAAACATCTCCATTGTAGTTTAAAATGTAAATGCAATGCACTAAGTGAAGAAATGGTTTTAAAAATCTCAAACAAAAGAAACCTAAATTTTATTATAAAAAGTTACAATGTTTCCAATTATACACTTATCAAAGCTAGTTTTATCATTTTATTTCTAAATGACTCAAGGGGATTAATTACGTGAAAAAAAAAGAAAGACAAAGAAATGTTCTCTAGAGAATGGCATTCAGGATGTACCAATTAAATTTAAAAAGAGAGAGAAAGAGATGGAATCTTGGGCATGCACGCACACGCACCCAGCGTGAGTTTAAGCCACCGGGTCCGGGACTCAAACCACTGTCGACTAAATGGGAGTCCAGGGATGTAACCACTTTGCCATTTACTGGCCTCACACAGTAAATTTCTTTAACTATAAAACTGAAGAAATAGTTTTTCAAAACCCATCTAGTAATTCTTTAAATGCCATATAGAATACTAACAAAAATTTCAAGCATTTCTCTGTCCTGGATCACTTCATTAACAGCATTTACCCATCACTAACTTCTCTCTTGCTTTCATACAAAATGTATTAGGATTTCATTAATTTGGTTGTCACTCAAAAATTCTGGGATGGAAAGGGTTGTCACGAGTTAAATGATTATTTATTTTTATTTTTAAAGAATCAAAAACTTAAAGAAAATTTACGAAAACGCAGCAGTAACTTTTATTCCTGGACATTCAGTCCCCACTCTCTTACCCAGAACAGTAGTGTTACTGCATAGCCACACGGAACCATCAATACCAAGACAGCACGTACCATGGCAAGGGCCAAACCACTTATTTACTTTTCACAAATTCATGTCTCCGTATGAACCTTTATAGGGAAAAGGATGTAGTTCAGAATCGCATAGTGTTCTGTATAGTTAAATTCAATTTATTAGCATTTGGCATTAATTTTGCAGACGCAAGGCTGTCTTCTCATTGAGTCTGAACAGACATTGCACCATTTCTTTTTTTTATTACTACTATTGTTTTATTTGATTTATTGATTCATTTTGCAATCTGCAGACTTTTCCACATAAAGGCTATTCTTTGACCTTTGTCATTAATATGTGCTTTGATATTTTGAATAGTATGTAAGCATTTTAGTACTTAAATGAATTTTAAGTCAGAGGCTAATTATTTACATCATAATAGAATCACAGTTTCCAATATTTTCATGACTGTTATTATTTATTTTGATGCTAGCCTACCCTGGATTTGGTCAGTGTAGGTCCATTCAAGCTTGTTCTTTTTCTACAAAACTAGAGGTGTTCACCAAGGCTCCTCTGACATGTTCCGTTTTCACCTTCCCGGATGTATGAAGAAGTCAAAAACACCGAGCATTTACTCAGTTTCTTAGTCAACACTTTAGATAAATTGTCCTTGTCTTAATCTGTCCAATTACTAATAACAATTTTTTTTTTTTAGATAGCCCCCATCCTTCCCAGTTTTTCATGCAGGAGTTATGGATAATTCCAAGTTCTCTCAAAACATTTTCCTTATAATGATGTGAATTACGTGTTTCTAATAAAAAATAAGGTTGAAATTCATCTTCAGATATTATTTATTTATTTATTCATTTGTTTAGGTTTTTGCCTAGGGCACATGCACTCACCAGAGAGAGAAAGATACAGTGCAAGGGAAAGTGAGAAATTACCCTCTGGGTAATGGGGAGATGGTCATGCCACAATCCCTTCTCTTCCAGTCCCCTCTTGGGATTTGAGGTGTGGACACATACACACTCACATTGTGATTTTCAAGCCACCACTCACACACACACAGAGAGTGTGATTTTTCAAGGTCAGGGATTGAAATCATGGTTGGCCATGTGGGAGTCCAGCACCTTAACCACCACACCACCTGCTGGCCCCCATCCTCAGCTATTTTATATACTGTGATGTTCAGCTGGTTTTAATTATAGGTTGCTAATCCATTTCTTACAGTTTCACAGATATTTCTTTGTTTTTCTTTTAATTTTTTGTTTACTAGAGGGCATGGGTGCTCACTGGAGAGAGAAAGACAGAGAGGGAAAGGAAACTAGAAGGCATGCCCAATGGAGGTAGCCATGCCATAAACCTCTCTCCTCCATTTAGTCTTTCCAGACTATAGCTCACATGCATCCATGCCCAGCATGTTTTTAAAGCTGCCAGGCCTGGGACTCAGATTTGCAACTGACCATGTAGGATTCAGCTGCCCCAAATACCAAGCCCCCAGTTGGCCCAAGTTTCACAGATTTTTAGTTTTATTCCTGACCCCAACCATCATTGATTACAAATATTGCCTTCAACTTGTGCCTTCAACTTGTTTCTTCATTTTGTGGTGTTTTTTAAAAACTCTCATTACTAATTTTCTAACTACAATGCCTTTAAATTCTATTTCATTTTTTTAGAAATTTTTTTGGTATAGGGCATGTGCATTTATCAGAGAGAGACAGATTGCTGCATATAACAATCTAATTGCTGGCTATTTTTCTCTCAGTATTTTTAAGATATCATTACATTATCGTTGTATCACACAGACATTATTTAGTATTTGTTATGTGTAATTAGTAAACCCATATTGTGTTCTTAAGATCTCTTTATTCTGGGACCAGAAGTTAGTGTAATGGCTATGTTGCTGGACTCCCATGTAGTCGACAGCGATTCGGACCCAGCAGCTTAAACTAACACCGGGCATGTGTGCATGCGTGCCCAAGATCCCAAGAGGAGAAGGGATTGCAGCATGGCCATCCCCCTGGGAGCTGATTTCTCACTTTCTGTCTCTGTCTCTCTCTGTCTTTCTGGCGAGCACACGTGCCCTATAGCAAAAACCTATC